CTTCCCTGTCTTTGAGACTTCAAATCCACCATGCTGCATGGATTTTTATAGGGCATATACTTGCTCATGACCTCTAGTGTTCAGAAATTCTGTCATGTTTGAAAACTAGTCCCTGGTGGAGCCCGTGTCCCTGTTAATAGCTGAAAGGTCAATGGAGCTGCTAAACAGTTTGTATTACTGTCCGGGTGGCCATGAAAACACGGCCTGCGGCAAGAGGACTTGGCAGCTGGGTCAACAGGCACTGTGGGGATTTCTCAACCTAGTGGGGGCCACTTGCATAAAACTTTGACTGATGAATTGGGACTCGACTGGCTTATTGGGCTACAGCCTCTCTATTATGTGTGACTTTCTTTAGGATGGCAGAGCTGCCTGCTGGCTCCCTGAGACATATGTGAAGGATAAACAGAACCGATGTCCTCTTAGGAAGGGAGTTTCTTGGGGGGAAAAGAAAACAACAACAACAACAAAACCCAAAAGACAAACCACTCTTCAGCATCTAGTATAATTAGGAGTAGGATGAAGATATTAAGAAGAAAATAAACAAAAGGCAGTAAGTAGGGCCACTGAGGGGAGGCATGTGGAGGAGGCACGGGGATGGGGGGTTGTGGGGAGCAGTCTTTGATATTGGTCACAGGAGTTTGATGATGGAACATTTCTGTGAAATGACCTCCCAAGACTGAATTTGCATTGTTAATTTATAGACCTCTCAGGGGAAGGGTCTGCGTGACTTGGTTGGATCACAGATAAGCAGTATGTTAAAATATAGAATGACTGGGTACGTAGTAATTGAATCAGTACGATTAAGAATAATTTTGTTTGGGACGCCTGGGTGGCTCAGTTGGTTAAGCAGCTGCCTTCGGCTCAGGTCATGATCCCAGCGTCCTGGGATCGAGTCCCGCATCGGGCTCCTTGCTCATCAGGGAGCCTGCTTCTCCCTCTGCCTCTGCCTGCCATTCTGTCTGCCTGTGCTTGCTCTCTTTCCCTCTCTCTCTCTGACAAATGATTAAATAAAATCTTTAAAAAAAAAAAAGAATAATTTTGTTTTACAAATTCCTGGAGAAATAACCCTGAAAACATTTCAAAATAATTTAAAAAAAAAAGTCATTTGGTCTCATCTGACGCAAAAATTAAAGATCTTGGGCAGCAGTGTGAAAAAAATTGCGTTCGATAAACACAAAGCTTAGAAGGTACGTAAACTGTTAGAATTGTTTAATTTCCACCCCTCAGGTGCATTTATTTGATTCTGAAAAGACTGAATTAAAAGTAAGCATCTAGGGCATGATTTGGACATCTGGAAACTCAGCATCAAAAGCTCTTGAGAGCTCCATAGACACCTTTACTCCAAGGTTGGAAAGACAACCTTCAAAGTTGAGCGATCACCTGAAAATAATTCTTGAATGCAGAGAATGAATACCAACCATATTAAACATATTAAAGCATTTACTGTGTTTTAAATGTATGATTTAATCATCTTTAAGAGCACTTTAAGAGCACTCCGCAGAAATGAGGAAGAGCAGAAATACTGATGAACTCCATTGATGGGCAAAGGGGGAGAGAAGTGTGAAGGAACTTGATGCAGGCACCCCCAATAAGGAAGATTCCAAGACAAGACCAGTTGCCTCCCTGTCCTGCCGGGATGGACTTGTTCCTAACAGTTGATCCGTCTTGGGTGGCGTGACTAAGTGAAATTACAATTATTGCCCATCTCTCTTGTGTCCAGTGTATTCAATCTGTTTTCTGGAACTGCTGGCCAAGGGAGCTCCCCCAACCAGGGCAGGCAGAACCCCGTGCTGAAGACTTTTTGGGACCCAGTGAGTTGATTCAGCAAGCTGGGTGACTGGGATTAACTCGAACCTAACTCCACTCTCTGACAAGATGCAACTGTTTTGCTTTTGACAATACTCCTGAAGTGTGCTCAGTGTTCTAACATGGAGGGAAATTCACTCCTTCCCTACTTTTTCTTTAAATGACTCCTAAGATCTACTTAAGGAAAGCAGAGTTGTAGTCTTATTGAATTTTCATTTTTTAAAATTATGAATAAAGGCATTTGGTTTTTACAACAGATTATCTTGCCATCCTTTTCTGAGGTGGATGCCCACTGTAAAATGATTTTGAACTTATGTAAATGATTACATAACATAAGCCTTAGACCAGACTGTCCTTATAGATTGAGGCAGTCAGTAATGCTGTAACCTCACCCGCCTTTGCCAAAATGGCTTCAGAATATCGAAGATGGTTTTTATTTTTTTATTTTTAAAGATTTTATTTATTTATCTGACAGACAGAGATCACAAGTAGGCAGAGAGGCAGGCAGAGAGAGGAGGAAACAGGAGCAGAGAGCCCCATGGGGGCTCGATCCCAGGACCCTGGGATCATGACCTGAGCCGAAGGCAGAGGCTTTAACCCACTGAGCCACTCAGGCATCCCCAAAGATGATTTTTAAATCCCTTGTCTTCTTTATATGTGAGTGTGTGTGTGCGTGTGTGTAGGGAAAAACAGAAAAAAAACCCATACACCTATGATAAGAATGTAACTTCTATGACATGTAATACAGAACTTTTTTTTTTTTTTTTTAAAGTTCATGCTGGGCATGAGCTCACAACCCTGAGATCAAGACCTGAGCTGAGACCAAGAGCTTGATACTTAACCAACTAAGCTACCCAGGCACCCCAAACATAAAAATTTTATAATTTGTTGTTATTCTCTTCCAGGACCTTGAGTGAAGTGCTGTGTGAAAATAGTGACTCTAAAAACATTATTCTAATGAGTCTGGAGACTCCTCCACAAGATACAATTAACCTAAGAATTTAATTTGAGTTAGATTTTTGATATAACAAGAAATGTCTATCACAAGAAATGTTTTCCAGTTGATGAGGCCCTGGCTTCAAATTCTCCCTCAAAAGTTTTGGAGAAACAATTTGGCTCTGCAGCAGACATTCTGAACACTGTCACACTAGTAATTAGTTTGTGTTTCTAAAATAATCCCGTTCACATACACTAAAGTATCTGCTTATACAGAACTTCAACTCATCTAGGGAGAAATACTATAATAATAAACGTTGGCATCCAAATTGAAACAGCATGAGCCTCCCAACAAATGTTTATGAAAACATTTGTTTTCTTACAGTCAGCTTCATTTTGAAATTTATGTCTATGTCTGTGTACAAGGACGGTGTGTTTGGGACTCTGTTACTCCCCCCACCTTCTGAAAACCAAACACACATCTTAACCCTGGCCCCACACGTGACAGGACTCACCAGAAACAGGCACCGTAATGAGAAGTCAGGCCTTTCAGGTATGTCACTCTGAGACCACCCTACTAGAGGAGGCCCCAAGATCACAAAGCCAAGGTCCCTTATGGAAACCCTGGTAATTAGACACTAATAATGGATGGAAGGTGTAAAATTGACCTCAACTCACCACCAGCAGACTAAACAATCCAGATGAAGAGAGAAAGATTTTGTGAGGAGGAGGGAGAATTCATTATAATACTACCAGGAAGCTTGTAAAAGCTTGTAAAAGCTTATCAACTTTGACAAACATAGTGGAATAATAACTATTTGGAATCGAAGGGCATGAGATCTGAGTGAAATCCCTAGCCATTATTATGAATCAGGAGAATGCTGCTACTTTGTTTGATTTTTGTTCTTAACATCGTCAACTTCAACCATCATCGAAATGTCTGATATTTTTTCCATTCATTACTTTGCTTTTCACAAAGAGGGCATTTGTTTCACAGCCGAGGAGGAAAAGATCTCCTACAATGCATGGATGGGTGCTTCTCTTACTGGGGAAGAAAATGTGTATTGTTACATAGAGGAGGAACGGGACGGGGTATGAAAGATGAATACATGTGATATGCCGACAGACCATTTAGAATTGATTACTCCTCTTCATGTTCTGTAGTACAATTGTCAGCTTAAACTTTTCTCAAGAAAGACAGTGTTTTGTGGTATGGGAAAAGGAGGAAGATCTCTAGTTAGTCTGTGATTTTTGGGAAAAAGCCTACATCATAACTTACAAGTAGAATGTTTAAATTGTAACTAAATTCATGCTTTTAGCAAACTTTTTAGGTTATTAGAATTCCTTCTTCTTAAAGAGACTTGAAATGTGGGGATTTAAATATGCAAATGGACTCATGAAGATAAGTTATTACAGAGAGAATCTGAAATCCACAGCATGGTATAGCTAGAGTCTGACAACTGTGTGTTCAACAGTAGTGCTATCTGAGGACACCCTAGGTTCTATGAACAGTTATTTCTAAGCTGATGACTAATATCTTTTTGATAGTATATAATTTTAGCAGCTGTTGATAGTTCCGACGTTACCCATGAAAGGAACAACTGACTTATTATGATTCAAGATAATGCTGCTGTGATGGGTGGCTAGAAAGGAGTAGGGGGGATAAGTATATTTTTTAAAAGATTCAACGTTTGAGTCTTCCTCTTGCTGGGATAAATGACAACATTTCTTCAGTTTCCATTTGTTTCATCACAGAAGCTTGCATGAGAGCTGTGAGCTGCCAGACAGTTTGGAAATGAGGCTCGGATGTTGAACTGCCATTTGGCTTATCTTGATTACCTGATGAAAAAATCATACTGAACAGCTGTAATGTCTGCCAGTATGGTTCAAGTTTTCTAGAAATAACCGGAGAGTTTATTGCTTCCAACATGAAAGCTAAAGCCACAGCCCTACCTCGGGTCCTCCTCTGCGCATAATGGAGGAAGCTGATTCCACAAACAGAAGGCTGCTCTCTGATGGCAACAAGAATGACATGACTGTGTGGACACAGTAAGGCTCTAAAGTCTAGCAGAGTCAAGTCCAGCCCTCACAGACCGGAGCTGAGGGTCCTCCCAGGACAGCACTTGGCCTACCTATATGCTAGGCCAAAGTGTTCATCTTTGTGGACTGGTAACTGCCACTCATCATCACCAATTTGAACACAGTAAAACAACTTGGAGAGACATTATTTGCCTTAAAGGTATATGAAGAGATCTCACCTTTTGGGATCTACGATTTTGTAGAGTTTTCCATTGTGAGTCTGGGTCATACTTTTACTACTTGATAGGATATAAACTTCACCTGTGAAGATAGAAATACAGTAAGTTAATTTATAGTATCACAAGGCCTTACTGCCTATTGCCTAAGCAGATACTTGATAGAAATCGGTAAGTGGATATTTTATATTTATTTATTTATTTGACAGAAAGAGAGATCACAAGCAAGCAGAGAGGCAGGCGGGGGAGGGGGGGGAAGCAGGCTCCCTGCTGAGCAAAGAGCCTGAAATGGGGCTTGATCCCAGGACCCTGAGATCATGACCTGAGCCAAAGGCAGCAGCTTAAACCACTGAGCCACCCAGGCGCCCCTTATATTTATTTTTTATATCTATTTGTAGTTCTATGTGTATATGCATGTGTGGGTATATGTGTATTTGTGTGTATCTGTATCTATCTGTATTATCTCCATGTATCCTCAGGAAGATCACTCGTCTAAAGATGGTGAGAGTTTTGCAAGTCTACCTTCACAGTGCATTCAGAATCCAATCACGTCTCCCCACATCCTACTACTATCCCAGAGCAAGCGGATATCCGTTTCTCCTGGATTAGGACAGCAGCCCCCTAACTGATCCCCCCACTTCTACCCTCGCTCTTCAATATTTAATTTCAACATACCAACCCCAGAAATGTTTTTAAAGCAAGTTACATCATTTAAGTTGGATCATACTCCTTTATTTCAATACCTCCATTGGCTTCTAATCTCTCCTAGAGCAAAAGTAAGTCCTGACATTGACCTGTGATGTCCCCCCTTATTGCTCTGTCTGACCTTCTATCTGCAGTGTGTTACCCTCTTGTTCCCTCCTCCCTAGTCTCGCAGGCCTCTTGGCTTTGCACACAGGAGGGACCTGTCCCTGTCTCCTACCTAAGGTCGCTGCTGTTTCAGGCTTTTCCTGCCCCAGGCTCCTGACTTCCTCAGCTTCTGTTCTAGGCTCTACCTGTCTCAGCATTGGTCCCAAGTTGTCTCTGACTTTAAAATTCATATTTGGTTCTCATTCATAAAATAGTCCTTGATTTAGTCTCTATTTTTGTATTCTACAATACAATGGCTTTTTTTTTTTTTTTTTTTAGCACACTCTACTACTTTCTTACTTCTGGAAAGGATGTTTTGGGGCTTATACTAAAAATACAGACACAATAGGAAAAAAAATGAAGTTAAGAGGCATAGGAATGTAAGCAAAAAAAATTAATATTTATTTTGTCAAGTACTTTATGTATTTTATTTCACTTAATCCTTACAACGAACCTCCTGGATTTATAGCTAAACACACACACACACACACACACACACACACACACACACACAGAAAACAGACTCTCAATACTTTTTGTTTCAAAAAGTGCAAAAACCCACTCATTTTCTTATATGGCTCTTTTTTTTTTTTTTTTTTTTTTTTTTTTTTTTTTTTTTTTTTTCCGAGAGATGAACTTTATTGCAAGCACCCTCGGGCGAGGTTCCACGACGCACAGAAAGAGAGAGAGGGGGATAGTGAGTCGGGGAAGTCGTCGCTCTTTGTTTTTTTTAATCTTCTTAAAATTTTTTGAAGTCTTATCTATTTAGGTAATCTCTACACCCAGCACGGAGCTTGAACCCACAGCCCCAAGATCAAGAGTAGCACACTCCTCCCGTTGAGCCAGCCAAGCACCCGCTTTTTAAAAAAAGGAATCCCTATACCCCACATAGGGTTCAAACTCACAACCCCGAGATCAGAAGTTGGGTTGCTCTACTGACCTAGCTAGCCAGGCAACCCCCACAATGTGGCTCTTAATTAAAGCCAAAGAGTTTCACATTAAAGCATAATTCAGTGAAAGCATGTTTAATTATAATTATATAGTATATACGATGCTATAGCTTCCAGACCCTAAGGATTGTATATGCTTCCTTTGTTAGTTCTGCTCCCAACATGGTATTAAGGGCAGATAGATGTCTGGGTATTTTAACCAACGGTGGTGACACTAACAGGTGACTGATGGTGAGTCATGTGCAGTCAGATCTAGGGAAATCAGAATGATTCAGTCACAGCATCTAAATATTCATCTCTAATTCTGCCACAAACCATTTAATCCTCATTTATATTTTAAAACCAGAGTTTGCCAGTGAAACTTAGATTATATAGCAGAGGATTTCAGTGAGAAAGTGTTATTTCTTTGGTTCTTTTGAGTGAGCTAGGAGATATCCAGGGAAAATTAACTGTAAATGTTTTCAATTATGGAATAAGAAAAGAAGGGATTTGAGGGCTCTTTTTTAAATCTTTACATTCCTGTAGCTCTGAAATATGTGTTAAGTCCCCTTGTTAACTTAAGTGAATGGCATGGAACTATTCCTGATAAATTCTGCATTTGATGTATTGAAACCAAAGCTGGACTTCTAGGGAAAATATTCTGATTTAGGGGCACCTGGTGGGCTCAGTCAGTTAAGTGCCTATCTTCGGCTTAGGTTGTGATTCCGGGGTCCTGGGATTGAGCCCCGCATCGGGTTCCCTCCTCAGTGGGGTGTCTTCTTCTCTGTCTCGCTCTGCCTATGGTTCCCTCTGCCTGTGCACTCTCTCTCTCTCTCTGTCTCTCTTTCTGACAAATAAATAAAAAAGAGAAGAAAAGAAAATATTCTGATTTAGATGGGAAACACACTTCTTTCTTAAGACCTAAAATTCATCTTGGAGGCTAAAGGAGCATAGTGGCCATGGTTTATTTGGATGCTGTTCTTTAAATAGGGTCATTATGAAAGCTACATTTATCTCTATAATTTAAAATTAGGAGCATTTTCACTCTTCAATGGTATTCCAATTTCAACTTCTTTTTGCTTGTAAGCTGTGCACATTTTGATAACATACTAACAAATATGGTATAGTCCAGAAGATAATTTTTATTTTTATTGTTGGAAAGCAGAGCTACAAATTCAGCTTATTGTGTACAAACTGCATGCCTCAACGGACCCCCCAAAAAAACAAAAATTAAATTAAAAATTCAGAAATAGAGGGGCGCCTGGGTGGCTCAGTGGGTTAAAGACTCTGCCTTCGGCTCAGGTCATGATCCCAGGGTCCTGGGATCGAGCCCTGCGTCGGGCTCTCTGCTCTGCGGGGAGCCTGATTCCTCCTCTCTCTCTCTCTGACTGCCTCTCAGCCTATCTCTAGCTGTCAAATAAATAAATAAAATCTTAAAAAAAAAAATTCAGAAATAGAGGATAAGGTGAGGCTGAGATTACAACAGATTTTTTATTTATTCCACGAGGCATGGATAAGTGGGAAGTTTTCAGATAGAGAATAGAAACAAATGACTCAGATTTATCTGAAATATCAGTAGACATTTAAGACTTTCTCTCTTTAAGGGCCCCAAAATTCTCTTTTGTTCATGCCTTCCATTTTCCTGCTCTGTTACTTTTATATTTTTGGAATGGAAATAGATGTAAAGACCCCCAGAGAAAGGTCACTGGGAGAGAATACGTAGCTGGGCCGTCTCTAATCTCCACGGTAGGTCACCTTTGCTGCGGGTTATATCGCCCGTAAATGGAGGGCGAGATTGTTACACTCATTCCTCAGAGCAAAACAAAGCCTCTTGGGCAAGGGAGTGAGAATGGAACTTCACAGAAATAGTTTGTACAGTACCTAATTCATCTTCTCCAAATCCCAATATGTGACCTGAAAAGTAACCTCTACAGGAACCACTGTTGCCCAGACAGAGTGGTTTTTCTTGCCATTGCTTGCTCACGGGACTTTGCTGGAGGGTTAAGAAATTCCTACAACAAAAAGATACCGTAAACTTACAATGAAAATATGCTTTTGCTTAAAACTAAATAAGTTAATCAATCAAATGCTTGGAATAAAGTTCACAATGTATAAGTGTTGTAAGATACACCTGTCTTCTAAAAGGAAAAATATTATAGCCCATAATGTGTGCGAACACTGTGAAATTCTCATGTGGGGAGAAAGTACTTAAAGATAGTATTTTGTTTGGAGGGGGGCACTAAAAGTACCTGAGTATGAGAAAAGCCCTCCCCTTCATCCAGAGAATGATACTTCCTCTCCAGGACTAGACTCCATGCTGTGCTATTAATCAGAGAGAGGGACAGGGGGAAGATCATGGGGTCAGTAAACTTTTCTAGTTCCTTTTAGTGACCAAGCATAGAAGCTCTGCCATATGCCTGAATGCCAGTGACTTGGGAAACAAGATTCATAATCTGGGTTTCATCACTAAGAGTTCCTGAGAATTATCCACACAGTGACCTATAAAAAGGAGGCTAAATTTAATTGTGTAGTATTCTTACTGATAGAGACAAATTAAGTTCTGTTGTTAAAAGTTCTAAAAGTCTGGCAAAAACAAAATTCCTTAGCCTTCCAATTTCCAAATAATTTGGAAAATATTTACACAAGTCATATATAACAATAGTTTTCAAATTACTCATTGTCATGGTAAATTTATGTTAAGGATGAAGGGAAAAGCTTACATAATATGAAAAGTCCATCTGAAGACTTCTCGGTTCTTAAAAATTATTTCATGAACTTAATCAAATTTGTTTAAAAAGCATGTCTTCGGAAGTTCTTTAATTAAACCAACATACATAATGAAACAAAAAAGAAAATAATAATGTTCATGTGTGTCCCAGACCTGATCCCCAAAGAGAGACAATCATTTGAATATTTTATGGCAGTTTGCCCCCTAATCAATGGATATGTCATCTGATACATCAAATTGTGGTATCAGGGAACCTACCCATTACGGTCTCCAAACACATAGCTTCCGTACAGTCTTTCCGACTGGCAGCCCCGGTAAACAAATCCACCAACCAAAGGACCATTACTGAATGGCTTGAATTCCAAAAGTGATGGCTCACTTTCTGGAAAGAAGGAAACATAACATTAGATCAAATGAAACATTTTTATGAAATAAAAGTAACAGAGGCCAAGTAATATTATCATAATATTATTACGGTAATTTACGTTAAATCTAAAATATGTTCCATGATACACAAGATGAATCCTTGTTCTAGATATTTAGTAAAAATAATTTAAGTCCCGTTGCTTAAATAGTATAAAATACAAAAAGCTTCCATGCAAAGCTTGCTGAAATGGAAATGCTCTGCAAATGCTTGCTGTTATAATTGCCACACATACCAAATTTTCAATGAAATTAGAATCTGGATATTTTGGAAACCATGGTTATTTACTTAAGAATCAAAAGACTTAAACAAAATAATTGTTTTAAAATGGATTTTTTTTGGAGAAATGCTTCTGCATATATTGAGTAAATTAAGCCAGACCACTGTCAAGTTATATAAAATGTTTGAAAAATCATATTTTAATGAAAAGGAAAGTATAGTATATAAAAGGACTTTAAAACCACATTTGTATATTTAAAAACATTGTCACTCAAGTGATATCTTCATTTATTTATTTATTTTTTTTTTTTAAAGATTTTATTTACTTATTTGACAGACAGAGGTCACAAGTAGGCAGAGAGGCAGGCAGAGAGAGAGGAGGAAGCAGGCTCCCTGCTGAGCAGAGAGCCCGATGCGGGGCTCGATCCCAGGACCCTGGGATCATGACCTGAGCCGAAGGCAGAGGCTTTAACCCACTGAGCCACCCAGGGGCCCCTGATATCTTCATTTAAACTAGTTTAATAGTTTTGTTTATGGAGTTCTATGGCTAACAATGTCTAATGCAGCCATTCTTCCTAATTACAAGTGTATAGTTACATATCTCAGACTTTCCATGCATGTCATTATATACTTGACTACACATACGCTAATTGCAATGGAAAAGATCTAAAGCCAGTTGCAAATTAATCTGAAAATTACTTATTATGTGCTTAATGTCAAATAAGTCATTATCAACAGGCAGTATTTTAAGCAAAAGCCTTTGTGGGAAGATGGTAATTTTAAAGTAATTCTCCCTTCCCATGTAGTTATGGTGACTGTATTAGAAAAAGTAGAAAAGATTAAGTTTTAACCAGTTCAGTGAGAGGCAGCATAACTGAATGATTAAGGTCATGAACTCTGGAATCAGTGGGGCCGGCTTCAATCCAGACCTTGCCACTGTATGTTGTATGATCATTAACCTCTCTGCGTCTCAGTTGCCTCATCTGTACAATGTGGCCAATAACGGTGCCTACCACACAGTTGTTCGGGGAATGCAAGGAGTCAGGTTGGTACAGTTACTACAGGGGCTGGCACGTAGTAAGTACAGTGGATGTGGTTATCTGGGTTTTATTTTTGTTTTCTGCTTTATTGCAGTAAAAATGACAAAGTTGTAAAGCATTTAAAGTGTACACCGTGGGGATTTGCTCTATACATATGCAGTGAGAGGACTCTGGGGATGTGTTTTGAAAACAAAAATGTAAGACTATCAATATTGTAGCCAGTTGCAGCTGAACCCCAATTAATGTGATTGGAGAATTTAATTTAATCTGCATAAATATAGCCAAATTCCATCAAACCAGTGACTCATATAAGATTTTTTTTCAAAGCGTGTCATTCTTTGGTTTGGCTTTTATAAGTTACACACACACACACACACACACACACACACACACACGAATGAATACCTGAAAAAAAAAATAAAGTGAAATAACTGAATACCACATGAACTAACACAGCTGTTTCATTCCTGGTGCTAAATAAATATCTGTATTGAATGAGTAAATAGAAGGAGCGATCAATTTAATAATCTTAATCTACTGTGTTCCCTGAATCATAATAATTTTGATATATTGCTTCCTCCAAAAAGAGTAAATACTAAAACACTAAAAAATGTTAAGTTTTCTGGCCTTCATTATTATCCAGCTTAATTTTTATATGCATCTCTAAAACACTCCAGTAATCATGTTATTAAAAATAATGTCTAAACACCCCATTTTCATGACTTGCGTAAATAACGTGTTTTTACAAGTCTATTATGTTGTTTTCTCTAAAATAGGCACTTAAAAAATTGCATTCTTATTTGAAACACTTACTATTTTTCTAATTGCTGAGACTAGCATATAGGGTATTGAGAAATTTCTTACCTTGAACTTGTTTTTTTCTGCTGTATGTAAGATGTTAAGACAAGTTCTCCTTTATATATTAAATAAATAGCAGTTATTCATTTTTGACTCTCAGATGAGCAAAATATAAACAGCTAATTTTTGAAGGTCCATTAAATTTTTGGACCTACAGAGCACACTTCAGTCCACGGGAAAGGTAATTACCCAAATGGAATTCCTAGGGCTTGTAAGCGTCACTGGACCTTTAAAAACTTGTGCAATTTACTCCCTTACCACTGTTAGGTCAGTGTTTTTATGCTTTCCCAAATGCTCCTTTTGTAGAAATCCATTTCTCTTCAATTAATGTATTAAAATAAAACAAGGCCCAAACTAAAGCCAAATCAACAAATTATGCACTACTTACCATAATCTTTCCCCTTTATTATCTGTAGGATTCTGGCAGATGATCTGTTCTTTCCATTGGAGTCTGAACAAAGTATTGTTAAATTGATGTTTATATCAGTGGGATGGCGATCCACAGCACATCTGCATAACGAAAGGGGGACATCCATGATTTCTTGCCAGGATCTTTTCTAAACTCTGACTGGGGATTCCCGACATAGGAACCCCTCTGTGGGCTGGCAAGAACCCGCTGGCTATTTCCTTGGGATCCTCAACAGAAACATTCAGATTTGTTTGTTTACTCTGCTCAAGCTAAACAACCTCTGGAGAATATTTCCTAATTTTTCTTGGTATCTCTCTCTAGTATGAATGTGCACAGAGACTTAAAACATTTGTTAGTGCGTTATTAAGGACTGTCACATATATAATGCACTGGTAAGGTATGCAAGCCAGTGGTATCATCAACTCACATCAGCAACACACAAAATAGAATTAGTTTTGGTATTAGTTTTGTGTTTTGTACATGGAATTGTTATAATCTAAAGCTCAAGCTGCTCTAACAAAGGAAAGAAAGTGTACGCTATAATAATATAAGTAAAATAAAAGAAAGCCGGTCACCACAACCACTGAAGTCTTTTACATTAACTGTGTCTTCATGTCACCCCCAGTCTGGAACTAGAATATTTCCATGACCTAAGCCATTGACTGTAAATTCTATGAGCACAGGGACCACTTCCAGCTTCTTTATCCCTGTATTTCTGTTACCCTATTCAAACCCAGGGTTATAAAAGGGGCTCAATATTTGTTGAATGTTTAAGTCCACGAGGGACTGGGCATGTGGAGTTTGGGTTGGGAAAAGAATGAAGCTGTATAATATAATTTTTGAAGTTCTCACAAATGTGGAAAACAGTGTTGCCTTGTTTTTAGGTTTCTCAACTTTGACATTATTGACATTTTGAGCCAGAGAATTCTTTGAATAGGAGACTAGCAGAGGGGAGGAGAAGGAGGCTCTGTACTGAGCACATAGGATGTTTAGGAGGATCTCTGGCCTCCGGCCACTAGATGTCAGTAGCATGAACCCTTCCAAAAATGTTCCTAGACGTTGCCAAATGTTCACAGGAGGCAAAATCATCCCACAAGGAATCACTGTTTTAGGTCAACAAAATGCAGTAATGACTTGACAACCGAACCAAACCATTAAATAAACTAGAAAACAAAACAACCTGAGAGTAAGTTCTGGGTCTTGAGAAACGTTAAGAGTCACATGCAGCGATCATGTCAGCAGTATCAACAACTGTGGAACAAAAACTGGTGCATCCAAATGATCCCATTCATCATAGGGAAACTACGAGTCTGAGCTGCCAAAGAAGAGTTAGCTGTTCTGTGGCAACAGTCCCTTTATTGTCCTCTTTAATTCAGTGTTTCAGAGTACAATGCCTGGCAAGGAACAGGACACAGACGTGATGTGACTTAAGGTGGAACTAAATCCATACAGGCAGAGAGCGCTTTCCTGTATTGTCTTACTTTTAAAGAAGAAGAAACGACGACAAAAGGTTTGACCTCTTCTTATCAAGAAAGAAGCAGATCTGGAAGGAAAGCCCAGGCTTCCCGAAGGTGGAGATGCCATCAGGCTTAGCTCTGGCTGAATACTATGGCCACTGAGAACCGCTTGACCCTTCTAACCTTTAGTTTCTTACGGAAAAAAAGAAGTTGGACAGTGAAACTCTGTAGGATACCCTATGGTGGATACACGTCATTATACACCTGTCCAAATCCATAGAATGTACAACCCCCAGTGAACCCTAATGGAAACTCTAGACTTTGGGTGATAAGGATGTGTCAAGGTAGGTTCATGCATTGTAACAATGTCCCACTCTGGTGGTGGATGTTGCTACTGGGGAGGCTATGCCAGGTGTGGTGGTCAAGGGGTATATGGGAAATATCTATGCTCCAGGCCAGCTACCACCGAGTACTGCTGAGAGGCATAAATGAACTAAAGTGGTTGAGATACTTAGTTCAGTACTCTGCACCCAAGGTGCTTAACACAAGTCAGCTTTACTTTTAGCCACTAATTATCTGAATTTCCTTTCTGCTTTATTAAATCTTTCTCCGCTTGAAGTGCTCTTGGAGGGAGGCACAAGTTCCCTTTAGCCCCCTGCTGCCTGAGGAGGTAAGACTCCACGGCTTAGGCGTCCTGCCATATGCAAGATCTATAAAGCGCCTCACCCTGCGTTTTTGCACGGAGGGCCCAGGACCCCCAGGAAGGTTGCACGAAAGCTCCAGTGAGACTGCCGTGACTCAGGGTGCAGGACTTCAAAGTGCTGCTTTGCGGTGGTATCTGAGAGTTCTGAGCTATAGGAATGGAATGTGACAGTTTCCTCCACATCCTGAACCCACCTTAAGTATTCCCTGTCGCACAGATTTTAAGATCTGCTGAGATGCCAAAAAGGAAATGAACTGTAGACTTGGACTTTGATGGAGGGGAGATGAAGGGCATGAGGGATTATAAAAATAAAAAGTTCAAGAAATACTCACCTTGCACATAGTGAACACTCAATAAACATTAAATAGCAATAATAACTAGGCTAGTAAATGAATGAATGTGGCCAAATATCCCATAGTATGAATAAGGGACCACAGATTGGATGAAGCTTTCATCATAGAATTGCTATAATATACTTCATAGCATTTTAAAAGTATACCCCAAATTTCTCACTCTACATCCTAATACTCCTTTCTTTATAGTTCATTATAGTAAACAATCAATATGAATTCCTTTAGATTATAATTTTTTTTTCAAGGGAAAAAATGTTAACGTTGAACTCAAGTCCTTACAAACTGATACTGTACCATTGTATGTTAAGTAAAGCTATGATAAGACCTGTAATTTATTTAAAACCTACCATGTGTGTCAGGCACTCTACTTTGTGCTTTACTTCTAGATTTGTAATAAATCATTATAGCCTTCTTGCAAGGTTGCTATTACCACCCCCATTTAATGTGTATGGAAATGGAACACCTCTTGGTTTCAGCTCAAGTCATGATCTCAGGATCATGATCCCAGTGTATTGATTTCAGGATTGTGAGATGGCAAACCGTGTGGGGCTCGGAGTTCAGCACAGAATCTGCTTAAGACTCTCCCTCAGCCTCTGCCCCTCCTCTCCTCTCTCAAATAAATGAATCTTAAAATAAATAGAAATAAATTTTAAAAAATTAATGTGTACGGAAAATTTCATTTAGAGGGGTTTAAGGAGACAATTTAGAAAGTTTATTATCTCTCTAAATTTGAACTGAAGTCTTAATCATTACACTGGTCCAACAGAGTTTATCTAATAACACTCCAGAACCTTAAAGGAATTTTTCTCCATGAATTTGTTCTTTTCGGTATGTCCAATCTGCCTTCTCATCTGCTTCATGCAGTAATAGAAGAAAAGAGTGCTCAGATAATGGGCTGGTGTGATTTCTGGAGGCTAAACCTTGGACATCACCCGTGGATGCTCTGTGTGTGGACCCCTCTTTCTTTTCCCAGTTCCCGAATCCCAGCCCGGCTTTAGAGCAGGCGGGTGGGGGCGGAGGGGGGGGCGCGGTACAGACTGTGTTCTCACCTGCCTGGATCGTGCAGGCCGTGTGCAAACACTTCTGGGGGCTGGTTGGTGCTGTTGAAGTGCGGGTTGCTCCTCGGTATGGAATAAGGCACGTTGCACATATCCGTGTCCACGTCCAGCCGGAGCACCGACCCTGTGAAATCACTGAGAAATTGGAGGACAAGGTTCAGTGTTTTCTGCCTTTGTTACATATTTCACCTAAACCAAATGTGGGGAGGTTGCTCTACAGTCCAAAGAACCATTTCCTCCTTTGAGACGAAAATATTAAAGTTACAAAATTCCGAATCATGGGCAACGAAACCAGGGGCAGGTTGGTTTCAGACAAGCGTCAGCACGCCACGCAGCTCGATGGTGGCCGAGGACTGCAGCATCCACCGCGTGCCGCATTTTGCAGCTGTTCTTTCTCTTTTGCCGGTCCACGCCTTTCCCGCGCCTGCCCAAGCGCCCCTGGAGCCTGGGAGTCCAGCCAGCAGGTGGCACAAGCTGCAGCGCAGAGCATGCGCAGAGAGCTGCACGTTCCCCTGGCTGTGTATCCCGCAACCCACGCGGCACTAATGCACTTTCCAACATCTGGGAACAGCGACTTCCAAATACACCACCAGCGAAAGACAGACTTCCTCATCATTTAATAAATGCAGACATCCATAACAGAAGTTAAATAGTTAACCAAGGCGACATAATTCAAAGACAAGTCTTTTTATTTATTTATTTATTTTTCTTCCCAAAGACAGTTCTTAACTCACTGGCCCTCACGCCTTTTGCCCTGGACTGGCATTTAAAAACATTTTAATGTCAAGGGGAACTTTTTTTCTTTTTTACCTTAAACCATCCATTTCTTCCATATCATCCAGTGTGATCATCCCATCACCGAGAATGACATATAAAAAGCCGTCAGGGCCAAAGAGCAGTTGCCCTCCTAGATGTTTTCTGTGGAGTTCTGCGACTTCAAGAAATACTCTGGCTGTTCTCAAATCAACTTGATGGGGATTTTTTCTACATTGTAGGGAGGAAGCAACACCGTAATTGTTAAAGCTGTAAGGTAAATCCACCGGAAAGTACACCGTACACAAATAGGGGAGGAGGCACTTAGTATGCAAATAAGGAAACGTATGCTTGAAATGGATCTAATAAAAATTTCCGATAAGTGACATTATTTTCTATGTTTTAGAAGGAGCATGTAAGCTGAAAGATAACTGAGGAAAAGTGTCAAAGCTACCATTTCTCTCAGTTCTATGCGGGTTTCAGCAAGGTGGAGATTGTGGCTTAATTACTGTCACCTTAACTTCTAAAATAATTAGGAAGAGAAAATGAGAAAATAAAACTGAAAAATATGTCGCGGGGCATTTTAGTGATACCTGGATACTGTGTATTCCACAACTCGAAGAATGTGGTCATGAGGCCCGATAGCCCATCGTTCTTGGTTGGTGGTATAAGACACATACAGCTTTCCATTTTTCTTGTAATTGGGATGGAATGCAAGGCTTAGCAGACCTCTTTCATCTCCTCCCTGCAGTCAAATGAAAAACACAAAGAATTGTGAAGTTAATTATGTTCTTTATTGTGTTTCAACTGGAACCCCAAAAGAGTCTCTTTCTTTCTTCTGGATAATCTTTGCCCAAACTCTTTTCTTTTCTTCCTTGCCTACTGCACAAAAAAGGATTATAAAACATTTCACTTTGCGGAACTCTTTAAGGGTTAGAACAAGACAATTGTCTTGTGTGGTTATCTAGGCACAAGACCCTTACCCCACTTTTGTCAAGTGATTTGTGTGTGCAATCTCGGGAAGCTAGGGAGACAAGTTTAAGTGCTATGCAGAATTCTTTGCCGGGTTACTAGTTGCTTGTAGTTCATAGAAAACAAATAAAAAGGTTCATAATCAGCAGTCACTTCTAATCCAAGTCTCCTAGACCTAAAACACAGTGTGGCCTGCCAACTCCCACTGTCTTGGCAATATGTTTAGAAAACAGTTAAATTGCTTGTGTAATATGTAAACCTTTGTTTTACCCTGGAGGCATCTACATCAGTTGTCACAACGATGGTGGTCTGTTCATCATAACTAGGTAATAAGCAGCCTTGGCCTATCTACATAGGAATGAGGTATTTTTACATGTATCTTTCACAGCATAGAGCTTTTCTTTATAGAAGGATGGAGAAACCGGAGGAGGCTAAAAACCAGGGCTGGCATGGGGGTGGGAGAAATACTAGAGAGGAAAGGGGACACTAGGAAATAAAAGAAAGATCCCAAACAACTTTCTTTGTTATTATATGAATGTCAAGGTTTGTATACGTTAGGCATGCCAAATGCTGTAACAATTAAAACATCATCATGTTCTTAAATAGAAAGGCATTTTATCTTTATTTTCTGCTAATTCAGCTTGATGAAACTCAATATGGTCTGAGCATTTGTTTTATCCCACAAGTAGTCTAGGGGTTTCTATAATGAAATTAAAGTATCTGAAATTATCTAGATCAGAGTTTTAAAGTTCAAAGTCTAAAAAGCCAGGGAGCTCTTTCTCTGTAGTCTGAGGAGTTATCCAAACCGGCGCACGGTGTGTCATGGAAACTATGAAGCAATTGCGGCTAGGACATCACCTTACCCACATGACTGCATTACACACCACGTCTCCTGTGGCCAACAGCTGGAAGTGACCCCATAGGCGTCTTACAGGAGGGAGATGATCTCCAGCACTGTGACTTCACAAGGTCATGCTCAGTAATGGAAGCACCCTCATGCTCTTGTCCCCAAAAAGAGCATGTGTTGCTACCAAAACTAAGAGTGGGTGTGGTTTGGATTCTACATGGATTGAAGAGTTTAAAGGTTTAGGCATCAAAGCTCACTTAAAGTAAACTTTGCTTGATTTATCTCCTGGATTAGAGAAAAACTGCTTCAGATATATGCCATCCAAAGTGGAGACATCCAAACTTTAAGAGCATGTAAATACTAAAATGGATACAAATAGCCAGAGCACTACCAAAGCATTATTTGAGTGTCAAAAAAGTCAACCTCTTCATTTGCATGTCACAATACGCTTGGTAGGAATTTCAATGAAGACAATCTCCCTGAACGGTATGGATCTAGGACCTAATGATATGATTAATGGAAATGAACCTTTGTTTTTCAGATTATCTTATAGTGATTTTAATATTGATTGGATGTTGCTGTTTTTTAATATTTGCATTAAACAAATATTTCCTCTTATGAGACATTGAAAGCTGGGATGCATAACTAAGACTGATTGTAGAAAAGCACATTTAAACCTCTTTGACGGATAAAAAAGCCGAGGGGTGGGATTTAGTTTGTGATTAATTCCTCTTCCGAGCGTATTTCACTTTACAGCTGTGAGTGCAGGATAAGGACTTTGTGCCCACTTCACAAATATTTGTGCTCCAACTATAAGAAGCTTTTGCTGAAAGTAGTTCTTTTGTAGTTTTTAATCAAATCATTTGAGATACAATTTGAGTTGGAGAGCAGCATGGCTTAGAATTTGCTAGCTGCTTTTCGGGAATTAGGAATGTAGAATTCAGGTATTGTAGAAAGATAGGGAAAGAGATTTAAACAAATCCACAAGTGACAGAAGACAACGGTTCACTTTAGAGAGTCACCTATCACATGAATGAATTTGGGGGCATCACTGGCATTTGTTGAAGTGCCAAATACAGAAAAAGAATGAGACATGTGAATGACCAGAAAATAAATTTAAAATGGAATCTTAGAAAGTCCATAATTCTGAATTTTTCAGGTCGTAGGATTTACATTTGTTTGATTATGACAAATGATTTCGTAATTTTAAAGTCGCTTTGAGGCACAAAGTAGTGATCTGGTTGGCTTAGAAACATGACTGATTCTTAAGTTATTTCAGAGAAATACTCACTTTCATAACTATATTGATGAAAAGTTTAATGTATTAAGTAAATATACTAGAATGTCTCCCGAAATTAGCTTTGTAAACTCTGTAGTGTAACATGACTCCTAGATGTTCAGAGATTGAGAAGGGGGGATGTATCACCACTGTCAGGAGATTCAAGTATCTATAGGCTCACGTTTAGCTTGAATTGGCCTTCAGAGTTACATCTTCGATTTAAAGTATGTGACTGACGAATCATGATTTACCTCTCAAATGCAAACGTACATTTGAGGTAGGGGCCATTTTTCAAGATTTATATGGAGAAACAGGTTGATTGGGCATTAAAGGTTTAATTTTGGAGCAAGGTCTGCTAGAGTCTGCAATGCAGACATTTGAGGCCTCCAGGGCTCTCTGGTTGCTTCAACTATGGTCTTCACCAGGGAAGTGCCCAGCCTGAGACCCTGAGCATTGGTGCCAGAAAGCAGGGCAAACCAGCCAGACCAACTCTCAGGGGAAAGCCCTTGGGCTAATGTTACTAACGTTATTGACTCTTCTTCCTTCCCTCTTACCTCAATTATGTGTAGCTTTATGGAATGAAAATCATGCACTGCTTCCAGAAATGTCAAATTATCAAATTGTTTCTAGTGAGCATCAGGGAGAATGAACCTCTAGTGATTAGTTCAGTCAAGCTGGCTGAACAGGGAGAAAGACAATTAACAGAATGGCAAACGGGAGAGTCATGGTTCAGGGACATTGACTTCTAGCATTATACTTTTGGAAACATTAACCAATGTCCAAAATGCTTATCCTGACTCATGTGAAAAGCTGTAATTTATCAAAACGTGCCCATTATACTCTGTACTCTATTATTTATACTGAATGCTTGATGTGCACCTTGTGTTTCTGGGAATGTACATCAGTGCTAGAAATTGGCAAGTAATTTACAAATAACACTTTAGGGTTCTCTTAGTTAGGGGCTAATGCCTTTCTTTTTCTTTTTTTTTTTTAAAGTTCACTGACTGAAACTTCACCCAAGCATCATAGGCTACCTACCACAGGACACTTCCTTTACCTCTGCTTAGCATTCTCAGAGTGCATCAACTTCTGGGCAGCACCACACCAAGCACAAATGACTTATCAAAATCAGATAGTTGAATGATTTGAAAATAATGTCCTTGCATACTTTGAATTGACCCATGTTTCAGAGTAAATCGTAAAACTCTCTTAAGAGACCTTAAATAAGTAATTAACTGCCATTCTAGTTATCATTCAGCTTTCAGGAGCAATTTTGCAGGCTCAACAGAAAAGAGTAAAAAACCCCAGAGAGTATTGATGAATTTAATGTGAGTACAAGATCAGATGTAGTCCTATAGTTTTGGGACAAACTCTTCCCTGATGAACACATCAGAGTTCTCACTGATTGACCAAGAATATTCCTCTTCTTTGAAGAAAATGGAAATATCTATTAGAATAAGAGAGGTAATGATAAAATGATTATATAATATATATAATATGTAAGATAAATATTATATATATATAAAGATTCTTTTTTTAAGAGACATTGTGGGCATGGTTTTTCATTATGATTTTTAAGGAAAACATTCCCTTCATACTTTCAATGTGGCTAAGGTCAATTTTTTCTGAGCTCTATCTTTAAAATTTGCCTTAATCTTTTCAGGGAACGCTAGCTTATATATTTTAGGAAACAAGACCGGGCAGCACTGAACTATAAGCACCATTTCTCACTTCTCCTTACTTTTTCTTAGTAACCCTTTGGCAAGGGACTAGCTTCAAGTTTGGTAGTCTACAGAACGGCCTTATGGTATTGAGAAAGCAATGAAATGTAAATTAAATGAAATAATGCAGTGTTAAGTTCATGATATGCCTTGTTATATGTAGTCTTTGTAAAAAAAGAAGTTTGTATTTGATATTCGTTGAACAGATATTTATCAAATACCTACTATGTGTTAGGCATTGTACTTGGCACCAGGGATAAGAACAATTCTCTGTCCCTCAAAAGATAAGAGTATACATGAAAACAGATAACAAAGTCAGATAACAAAGTAAGTTTTTTGTTGTTTCATTCTCACCAAACTTCTTCATGATGTTGATTTTTGGGTGTGGGGGAGGGGGAGAGTTAAACATGGCTACACTATTAGAAATGCACACAGCCCGAAAAACAAGTATTAAAGGGAGTAAATACATATTCTGGGTAACTTTGGACACACAGGCTAACTAGTATATTAGCACCCAAGGTTTCTCCACTCTAAAACTTTGTAAGGAAAAGAAAAAAAAGCTTGGTTTTATGAAATCTAAATTACATGAAGAATGTTAGGTTGGGTTTCTGCAAACAATAAGACCATCTTCCAATTTATTTTATGCATATGACACAGATGTGAATGAAGACCTCTAGTAGAATTGGTGGTCTCTTAATAATAAAGGAATTTCTGAGAATTAATATAAGAATAGTGAGGTGATATTTTTTAAACTGTTTATAAAATATATACTTTTATTAGGAGGCATGTCTCCCTTATTGTTATTCACGTATCTATATTTTGTGCTCCTACACACCAGGAAAGGAACAAGAGAACTTGGACACCAACATGGGCTCCTCCTCATGCAAAAACCTTTGCTTCTCTTAGGCTGGAAACTTTTGCTATTC